GGAGGGAGAGAGAGAGAGAGAAAGAGAGAGAGAGAGAGAGAGAGAGAGAGAGAGAGAGAATTGAAGATGCATATTAATGTCTACTTTAGGGTAATTGTGCTCCTCCCAAATTCTTATGTTAAACCCTAACCACCGTTGCTATGGTGTCAGGAGATGGCATCGTTGAAGACAATTATGCTTAGAAGAGGTACTGAGGCCTCAGGCTGGAACTAGCATCCTATCAGAAGGTACACTCTGCCAAATTATGCACCAAGGCCATATGACTATAGAGGAAGAAGCCAGGAGAAGGATCTCCCCTGCCTGGTCCCTTGATCGGACTCTCCTTAAGCTTGAGAACTGTGACATAAAAATTTCTATTGTTTAAGCCACACCTTTGGTGGTTTTTTGTGGTGGCAAAACACAAATCAGATCCTCGGAATCTGTTTGCTTACAGTGGGATAAGATGCCTCAAGATGTACCCTCTACTTTAATAGTCCTAGCAGACTGCATCTCCTAGGTAGTAGGTTTCCAAATTGGGTTTCCATGGGACTAGCAACAGAACTCAACAGTAGAGCTCTTGCCTGGCACATGTAGCACCTTAAGTTCAGATTCCAGCATCATTTAAAAGGGGAGAAAGGGAGGAAGGCTGTTGGAGTAGCCAGGATAAGAATCTGACAAATGGCAAAAGTGTGCTGTGGGCAAACTTTAAGATATACTGAGATTCCTCATATTGAAATAACAGAAAAAAATCATTAGTTTTGAACATGTGTCTTAGGAGCTGGCATTCCGATCATAAAATCAGTCATAAGTTAAATGTTCTGGCATTTGCGTCAGATAAATTTACTTCCCCCAGAATGGTCTCCATGTGAAGACTGAGGCCAGCTGCTCTTTGCTTTGCTTTTTTCCAAATCAAGGAATGAACACCATTAACCCGGGTCATCGCAAAAGAATTGTACTTCTCCAATACAAACTCTCCAGAATAACATTATACTTACTCGAATAAGAAACTACAGTGCAGAGTTAAAGTTTTGAGGCTCATATAAACCATGATAAACAATAATGGAAGAAAAGGCAAAAGTTAATTTTACAGGAGCTCCAGTGTTTCTGCTAATAACTGTAGGAGAATCCAACCTCTAAACCCACTCCTGTGTTTTAATCCCGTCAACAGGGATGCTGACAGGAAGGCAAATGCCTCATTTACTATCTAATTTATTCACTCAACAAACAGTACTTCAACTATCCTGTCTTCTGCCAGGGTGCTGACGTGCAGGGAGAAGCCAGACTCCTGCCTTCGTGGAATTATTTTTAAACTAAACACTATTCCATTCACACAGAGGAATTCATCTGAACAATTTTCTTTCCAGGAGTACTTTTGTAAAACTTAGATTAAGTCCACTGTGTCCACTAGGAATTCAAGATGAGTCATCTAAGACCGTGCTTTGAAGACCTACTTAGAAAAGGGGTAGGGGAAAGCCTCCCTCTATAAATAGCATTACAGCATCCAAAATCCCAGAATTCAGCTGTGTGGAGTCACTGAGTTTATCTAATTCTCGGCTCCCAAAAGGAATTTCCTTGTGAAATATTAGGAATGAAGGTATTGCATGCTGATCTTTACTGAGTTAGTTAGCTAGCTTCTTTTGTTAGTCATTTCCACAGATGATAACAATTACCTGTTCATAAGCCCAAAACTTCACAGCTGTCTCGGGAGCTATCTTAATGACATTGGTGCCATTTCCTCTCCAAAGGGAACGGATTCCTCCTTCCTTTACCATCTGCCGAAAGCCTCCAAATATATTCATTGATTTGGAACCATGAACCTAAAAGTAAAAGCAAAGTGCCATGGGATAGTTCTGCATATTGTTGATACCGAAAGTAGGTCTGAGCCAAATACAAACATGGGGGACTGGATGCTAAGGCCTACAGTGAGCGTCTCTGACGGGCTGCAGTGCCCTGATATTCTGTCAACACCAGGAAAGAAAGGCATTAGTGCTGCACTGGGCATAGACAAAAGCAGTCCTGCACTTGGTACTTTCCTGGATTCTGACCCTGTGCTTCCTATCCTTGGCTGATTTGAATCCTTATTTCTTCCTGGTAATAAACCAAGATCATGAGTCTGCATTTTTATAAGGCCATCTAGTGAAGTGTTAAACCTGAAGAAACCTTTCAAAAGGCCTTCAGATGTGTAGAAATTACAACTCTAATAGATCCATTTTATTTTGAATAATAAACTTCATGATAACATATGACAAAGGAAAATGTGTGCTTTCTTGAAGTCAGTTTACTAAAGGAAACAGTCTTTATCAAAATTTTCCCAATCTCTATAAAGCACTCGATCCTAAATACATTTTGGAATTGGATTACCTCAGAAATACTGTCAGAAGTATTTTGTTCAAACAATTTAAAGCTAAAAAGAGTGCCACCTGTAGGTGTGACAAGCACAGTTTTAAAAACACTTTAGGGAACTGTAGGATGGCCCAGTGGTTAAGAGTACAAGCCGCTCTTCCAGAACACAGGTTTGGTTCCCATCATGCACACAGCATCTTACAACCCTCTGTAGCTCCAGTTGCAAGGAATCCATGGGCATTGCATGCATATGGCACACATGCATACATCCAGGATAAATGCCCGAACACATATAATGAAATGAAAACATTCTTAGGCACTGTGTTCTTCTAGGACACACACTGGTGCTTATATAAGCTAACCTTTAGAGCCATCCTCATTAGACACTCTGCCCACTGTGGAATGGAGGAAACATGAGACCTCAGGTCAAATGCAGTCTAGGAACCAAGGCTCTGGCCGTTAAGTTCTATCATGCTTCATCTACTCTTGTTCGTAAAGAAGTTTTTAATTCTTACACTCTCAGTTTCCTCATACGTAAAATGAAGCCAAACCACCTGCTGTGCCAGCTGCCGTGAATATTAAATGGATGCCCATCTTGTTCACAAGTGAATATCCTTTCTTCTCTCTTCTCTCCACAGGGCCAGCCCAATGACTGTAAGTAGCCAAGTCTGTCTAGAAACACAGGCTTTTTCTGCGAACCTTAGCTCTAGAATCACTTTAGAAATTACATTCTTGTCACCAAGATTCTAGACTTGAGAAATCCTCTGCTTTCTCAAGTCATAAAAATCAAAGAAAATATAAGTAATTTAATGAGAACCCTTTAATAGCAGTGAAGTTTTTTTTTTAATTAAACATTTGAAGTCATGGAATACCGAAGACTAATATTTCATTACATACAAGTACTAACGATTTACAGTTTAGTGGGAAAGCACCAAATACTTCAACCCGTGCCTCCTCTGAGGGTTAATGGTAGAAGAATACAATTGTCTAAGATATAAAAAAGGAGACATAGGACACGAGGCTCACCTGCATCATGACCTTGAGGCGATCCAAAGGAGCGGTGCTCGTTCTAGAGACTGCACCCGCCACGCCGCCTGCCAGGAGCTGCCTCCACCACTGTCCTGATTTTTTCTCATCTTCTGTGAATTCATCCGGAATAGTTAAACTATCCCCTATGTCAATACCCTAATAAAATGGAAAGAGATCCCACAGTTCTTCAGTCACAAACGGATAAGCCCAGAACTTTCTTTTTGCGTCGGAGCTGTTACTGTTAGGACCGAGGTTCTTCCTTGGGATTGAGAGCAAAACAAGCTGAGTGCACATCAGTAAGAGTCTAGGCACACTGAACGCAACACAGAATCATCGTACAAGAGTGGGAACCGTCAGTTACAAAGTCCCAGGGCCACAGTCACAGCTTTCTCCTTTTTCCAAGTCGGGTGACTGTTATTGAAAGGGTGAAGTTTACCACATTTAGTGAATCCTTGTGAATCCCTTTTCACAATGCTAGAAAACCAGACAGTTTGTGACAGCTTTGACAAACTACTTAGCCAGTACCTCAGACACTCTGTCTTAGTAGTTATGGCCTATTAAACTCCGTGCCATTATATATATATATATATATATATATATATATGTGTGTGTGTGTGTGTGTGTATGTAAATTTAAAAATTAAAGCATGTGCCTCAGTAGTTCTATACTCCTCATCTTCTATATAGTTTGAGAACAGTTTTATCACTATGATACTTATTTTTGCAACCTAATTATCTGAATGCTGTGGTGGGTATACCTGGGTCATAGAGCACTTTCCTAGCATGTACCAGGTCCTAGCACCACACACAAAAAATGATCTTGGCATAAACTTTATGGTCAAGAATGAAAGGTAATAAACCATGCTGGTAGTAATGCTCTCTTCTTCCATTTGTTCCCAATAAAATGAATTTATGATTATAACATCAAATGTTATCAACGATCCCCAAAGTTATAATACAAAGTTCACAGTGTAAAATATACAGTCATAGTTGACTTTATGATGTTCTGTGTAAACTTAGACATTGTTACTAGTGATAACATGAACCCTCAGAGTATTGAATGAGAGTCAAAGGTACTTCTCTCCAAGTATGGAAACAAATCCACAGGTTGAGGGTTAGGAGATCCTGCAAAAGGTCCCCAAGGGCTTCAAGGAACAGACGGCATGACAAACTGAATTTATACCAATATATTCTAGCAGCATATTAAATAAAATGAAACAATCACAATAAAATTTTGTAAAGTATAAACTGGTAGGAAATACCAACCACATGAGTCAAAGTTACTCCCTAGCATTCACTGAGTAATGCAAGAGCTTATGGCAGCAATTAATCTAGGCAGCCTGCCTAAATAAGCAGAGGTTCAGGAGGGACTCAAGGCCATATCATCATTAGCAATCTGGAAGTGCAGGGATGATTTCAGTAATAAATGACTACCAGGCATCCCTGTGACAGAAGCAGTGCATGCCAATGAGACCCGGACAGCTTGTTCATCAAGATGGGACTTCCTCCACATTTTGAGAAAAGCTGTATTTATGCCATCTTAGGGGGCCTTAAAGATACTCTATAAATCTGTGCCTAACAGAATAAACAGAACTGTAGAAATCAAATATATTCTGGGACTCTCTTGAGACTTGGCCCCCTTCTGAGGGGGTTATGGTGCTCTTGGGTGGTAACTACAGTGAACCAGAGTTCCATGAAGGGACAAGAGACTATGAAGACTAACAGCCTGAGTAGAACTTCAGTGACGTGGAAAGGTTGCAATGTTGCAAGTCTAGAGCCAACTTATCTTAACTGTCTTTATCCCCCTTAATTTGTATTTCATTGCCCACCTCTGTGTGTGACCTAACATCCTTGTGACTATGAGGCAAACACTTTGGAAGAAATGAATGATCCCTAGATTCCACCAATACAGGGGCTAAGAATATCTCATTACACAGCATCTGAGGTCCATAGTAGAAATTTCCCTACTTTGTTGTAAGCCATCTATCTGATGTTTCTAGTAATGTATTTGAAAAGTGTCCTGATTTATGATTTTCCTCGCCCTGTTACTATTAAACAAAACAAAAACAAAACCTCATGGAACTATTTCCTTGTTAGAACACTGAATTTAGGGTAACCTGAATCTATGTTCCCAGGCCAGGGTCCCTCATTTAGACACAGAATAAATTCTCTCTGTCTCCCTTAAGGCGAGAGCTGTGTCTCCTGCATCCACACTATACCTGTGACTCGGAGCTACAGATACATAAAGCAGACTTACAGTAGAGTGTTTCCAGAAACGGATAATTTCCTCAATGTCTGTCACAGGGTTAAATAAAAAATAATCCCTCCATTCATTCCAGTCCACGGTCATCGTCCCGTCAGAGTCGATGCTGAAAGTTTAAAAAGATGATTAAAGAACAGGATAACACTATTGCCCACTTTATAGAAGGAAAATCTGCTTTCCAACTTAACATTCATACTGAATTTTAAAAACCTCTTGGCAGGTTTAAGAGGTTCAGTGACAGGACGTTTAGTTAGCAGGCATGAGGCCCTGAATTCCATCTTCAACAAAAATACACTACTTGCAATTATACATTGCTAGAAATAGAATCTATGTATTATGATCTTTTCCAGTCATTATCACTATTTGGAGAAAACTGGATCCAAATATTACAGAGAGACCACTGTAGATTGCCTTTAGCATTCTGTCAAATTCAAAGTCACTAGGGCTAAAAGACACAGAAACCAGACAACGAAATACTGAGAGGTGCAAATGAATGAACTCATGGTCTTTCCCCCTCTCTCACAGTTCAGGATTACTTCTTAACACCCTACACTTGCAACATTTAGGTATAATTTTGAAATAGATTCAAAATACACTATCAATTTTCTACTCCAACTTTTATCAATGAAAGAAAATTAGCATACTGAGCATGGTGGTACATATCTTTAATCCTAGCACTTGGGAGGCAGAGGCAGGCAGATGTCTGAGTTCGAGGCCAGCCAAGTAAATTCTACCAAGTAAATTCCAAGATGGCCAGGAGTACAGTTATCAATAAAATATTTGCACATAAACTGAAGACAATAAGACATTGAAAAGATTGTATATCAAGTCTGTTTCCTTCCAAGGATGTAAGAAACAGGGACTGGAGGGAAGCTCAGGAGCTAGAGCACTAGCTGTTCCTCCAGAGGATCTGAGTTCAATCCAGCACACATACATCGCTGGGCAAGTGGACCATGCCACTAGACAGACAGAACTGGTAAGGCTGAGCCAGCCTAAATAAACACTGGGATAGCTCAGAACTGAGAACAGTAGGCTGAGGCCAGCTCCCTGACAACGTACCTGATGTCAAACACAAAACCACAACACCCCACTGAGAGGACCGGGCAACTAGTCACTATAGCATAAAAATTTGGAGTTCTCCATGCTAATGAGGTATCTAGATAGGCCCCAAGTGTTTAGTCAGTGAGCTTCCTTCCCTTCCTGGGCATTCCTTCCCACAAAAGGTGTTTAATCCCTGGTTCATCCTGAGTGAGATGTATGCATTCAAATCTACCATCAAATAAAGCAATTTGGACAAGCAAGGACCCTCTCCTTCATCAAGGATCGAGTCTGGGTAGGCCTTTGTCATAAGGAGCCTCGCCTATATTTCCCAGAGATGGCCTTCTCTCTTCCAGTCCCTCCATACTGTTCACACTCACTTGGACCCAAACCAGACTCCACCTTTGTCCTGGGCTCAGCTATCCTCTTCCTGCCTGGTTCACCCCCATTTCCAACTCCCTGAGGTCCCCAGCAACATCTGGGTACACCGGAGCTCAGAAACCACAGCATCCATCCCAGATTCTGCTGTTTCTCATCAGGAAAAACATGGGCTCAGACCCCTATCACAGACTGTGCTCTGTCTCCCCTGAGTGGCTTGCACTCAAGTGACAGGCACTCAAGCACCCCAGTTGCAAGATAAAGATACACAGCCCAACACTACATGGTAGCTTAGACTGTTTGTAACTGCAGTTCAAAAGGATCTGACACCCCGTTCTCACCTCTGTGGGTACTAAATGCACATGGTACACACATATACACACACATACACACACACACACACACACAGGCATGCACGCATGCACGCACGCATATGCACATGCACACACACACACACACACACCAGCCAAACATTCATATGCATAAGATATTTAAATGGTTCACCATATGCAAGCCAATAAAGTAAATGTAGCACAAAGTAGAGCCAAGGACAGAAATCACATGATCATCTCAATAGATGCAGGGAAAACATTTGACAAAATTTTACATCTCTCTAAGTTAAAGTCTTGAAAAGCTAGGAGCAGAAGGATCATATCTCAACATAATAAAAGCTACATGTGACAAACCTAGAGACAACTTTATATTGAATGGAGTAAAATGAAAGAATTAACACACACACACAAACACACACACACACACATCAGAGAAATGACCTCTATAAAGAAGAAAGAAATTATGTCATTTGAAGGGAAATGGATGGAACTGGAGATAATCATGATAAGAAAAACAAATATGACATGTTTTCTCTCATGGAGAATCAAGATAATTTTAAAGATGTAACTAGAAGGGGAACTTTTTGGGTGACAGAGGCCATCAGGAGGGAAGGGAGATGAGACTTTGGAGAGGTGAATGTGACTGTGGTACATTCCAAGAAAATGTCACAGTGAACCCTGTTACCTTAGAGAGTTAACGTGCTGGTACTTGATTTAAAACAAGGAAGAAAACAAGGTGATTTGAATAGTAATAGCCAGGGGCTGGAGAGATAACTCAGAGACTAAAAGCAGCAAGTACTCTTGCAGGGGACCCAGGTTCAGGTCCCAGCACTTACATGGTGGTTCACAACCATCTGTAACTCCAGTTCCAGGGGACCTAATACTCCTTCTGCGTTCCACAGGCACCAAGCATGCAAGGGAAGCATGGACATATATGCACACAAAACACCCCTTACACACAAAATAGATAAAGTAAATGTTTGAAGTTATACTGAAACCCTTATCCCCTATCTCAGACAAGACGGACTGCTGTCCTAGTGCCGCTAAGGACTGTTGACAAACAACTAGCCTGGCTTGAGCATCCCTCTCCCATCCCTGCGCTGTGGATAATATGTGTTCATATAGACATAGAAAGGAATAAAGGAAGGGAGGAACCATAGCAGCCAGGTGCAATGAGGTATGCTGAGCTGGAAGGAGCCATTTTAAGGTGGCACTTAGAAACCACCATTGAAAACAAGATATTACTGTAAAATTCAAAAGTAGTTTGTCCATTTGATGGAGGGCTTACCTTTGAAGAATCAACTCTGCTTGCTTTTCGGAAATATGTAAACCGAGCATCTGGAGAGACTGGACAATTTCAGAAGGCTCGATTTTCCCTTCAGACAGTGAAAACAGCATAAGGTCAGGCTCAGAGTCTGAGAACACTTCTGAATGACTAAGGTGAAGCTAAGCATTTAGGTAGCGATTTGCTTAAACACATATTGCAGCATTAATACTCAAAATTTTCACAATTCCTTAAACAAATATGCACGTATTGTTTGATTCGGTAATCATAAAGCATAGTAGATATTCAGTGATATTTCTCCACACAGGAGGCCAAAAGCTCCCACGGCCTTGTTAAGCAGCGAGAGTAAGAAGCAACAGGAGACGACAGCTATAAATCTGCTGACTAGGAACAGCTCATTTAAAAATACTCACATCCACATCTTCCTAAGCAAAAGGGTCATTTACTGTGCGTAGAGTCATGTGACCAGGCGAAAGGGAGCAAGAAATGAAGAGACTGAGCCAAAGAGAACAGGATTCTCTGAGAAATCTGGCAGTAAAAATACACAGTAGTAGCAGAAAAACAATGGGAGAGAAAAACATAATACGAGGAAAATCTGAACACATGGCAGAGGGAACAAATCAGGAGAAAAGGAGAGAGTGAAAACAGACCGCATACATAAACACAAACAGGCCTGCTCTTCCTCAAGTGGCTCACATCATGGGGGAGGGGGCCAGGGGCCAGGAGGGGGGATGAAGGAGAGGGAGGGGATGAGGGAGGGACAGGACAGGGAGGGAACTGAGGGCAGAGGACAGGACAGGATTGAAACCTGACTCAGAGTAAGAGGTTTGCTGCCACAGAGGTATGGACAGCAAGTTTGTTTGTTTGTTTGTTTGCTTTTGGAGGTGGGGAGGGGGAACACCACACAAAGGACAAGGGGAAAGGAAGATGATGTCCTCTGAGAGAGGGACCTAAGGAAATGATGGTGTGTGGAGATAGGAAAATAGAGAATCTGGAGAATGTGGTGGGCAGAGGGGGGCGAGGGGGAAGAGAGGGAGAGGAAGGGAGCGCAAGAGAGGAGGAGGTGTTATCTTGAGCAGTGAAGCACTTTGGATCCCTCCCAGAATTCTCCTGGGCCATACTCAAAGACTTAGTCATCCACTCTTATTACACGAAGCAGCCACATTCTGTGAAGTTACTGTAGATTCTGAATTAGCAACCACAAAACCACCGAGTCACAGGGAACTCAGGTCCAGGTTCCTGCAAGCTGCTATTACAGCATTTCCGTCAACTGACCTACTGTCTCCTGTGTCGGTATGGATACCTCATGACTGTGCACTGTTGATTCGCTGACACTGAGTTCTTGGCAAAACTTTTCTAAGGAATCTACATTTCTAAATGGCACACACCATGTCTTTCTTGGACTTTGAGATACTAGAATCCTGTATGAGGAACATCTTACAAAGTAAAAATTTCCACCAAAAGATGTACAAAGATGCAAAATGTAGGAAGCAAAATAGATCTTAAAAAAAAAAAAAAAAACAACATTGTTTCCAGTCTGAGAGCTAAAACAATGCAGAGTGTCACCTTGTGTTTTAAGAATAAAGAGTAAGACCTTATCTTCATTATGTCTCAACTAGGCACCCCTATGTTCAGTGATTAAAAGTTTTACTCTTGTGCATGGCCATAAATAACTGAAACACACGTCTTTGGATTACTTCTGATGTTAAATTTTAGCAAGCAGCAATATTCACCAGTACAAGGCCCACAGATGATGAGAAAATAAACTGCGAACGTTTAAATAAGGAATTCTGATGAAAACACAAACCTATAATGATACATTATTTCAAAATACATATAAAGTAGTAAGTAAAGGGGGAATGGTCTACATTTACTAACAATGCACTGTTAACTTCATCTCTATTTTCTACAATTTGTTTCCTGGATCGGACAGTGATGTGCGTACCACTTAGGTGGCAGATGGCTGACCACTTGATCACAGCACTTGATCCTGAGATTGACCTAGCCCCCAGCTATTAACAGGTCACAGACAACATTGTCTCCTAAATTAAACTGTAGAGGAGCCAGGTTGGATGAAAATTTGTGTGGAGGAAGGAAAGTTAATTTTAAAAACTGAATTTTGCCTGAGGATTGGACTCAGGTTAGACTTGAGGACACATCATGTGACGTTTAATGGTGTTAGCAGCTCTGCCTCCAAACACACTCAGCTCTTTGCTGTTGTAAACCATCAACAAAACCATCCAAAAAGTTTGCTTATAGGAAAGAATTTAATTTTAAGATAGAGTTCAGTCTAAATCAGTAGCTAATACACTAAACTGTCTCTCCAAATAAGGCCTGTTAACTTTATTTGAACACATACAATTTGTCTACATACACTCTGGCTGAGATACAGCCACAACTCAGACTACATGGTCTGCATGTTAAAATCGGGGCTGGAGAGACAGCTCAGAGGTTAAGAGTACTGACTGCTCTTCCAGAGGTCCTGAGTTCAGTTCCCAGCAACCACATGGTGGCTCACAACCATCTGTAATGGGATCCAATGCCCTCTTCTGGAGTGTCTGAAGACAGCTACAGTGGACTCGTACCTAAAATAAATAAATAATTCAAAAATAAATTAATAAAATAATAATATGATTCTTTTTAAAAATGTTTATTATCTAGATTTTTATTAAAAATTTGCAAACCAACCCTTGAGAAGATCAAAGCTTTTTTCAATCTATTGTTCAACTTCTTTCTTGAATAGCAACTCTGTGAGTGAGTGACACTAAGTCAGGAAAGGTGTAGCGCTGCGTTATAGTCTTTATCAGTTCATTCTTCCTGCCAGTGGTTGCCTCAGGGCACGGGGTCTAGTACTTTTCCTCATGGCCATTGCCGATTTTCTTCCTATTTAACTGGGACTCCATTTCCAAGCTACTACTTTAAACAGAGAAGATGCCACCCCAGCCAGAAGGTACAGACTCATACTGTGCTATTATCTTTTTAAGGATCAGAGACTATTTTTTTCTAAATTAATCCTTCAAAAAGATTGCCAAGTATAAGATATGAAGTTTTTGAATTTTACAATATACAGTAGTCATGCCCATATATGAAAAAAAGTAATACCTCCTATTGTAAAAAAAAAGTAAGTAATTATTTTTTTAAGCCAAGACTGTAAGTGGGATCAGCATAATCTCAATAGTTAACATTTTGTGGCAATTTGTAATTCAGTAGATAAAGCTACCTATAGATTTTTAATCCAGCAGACAAAGCTACCTATAGATTTTCTTCACTAAAAATCTGAACTCTTAAGGCTGGAGAGATGTCTCAGTGCGCTCACGGAGGCCCCAAGCTATGGTCCCAGAACCCATGCTGGGTGAATCAGGTATCACAGAATCAGATGTCACAGAATCTGATTCACAGATCACAGACCACATACAACTCCAGTTCCAAGGGAACTGACGCTCTCTTACAGTCTCTGCAGGCACCTGTACTCATGTGCTCGTAACCACACACACACACACACACACACACACACACACACAACTAAAAATAAAATAAAATCTTAAAAGATAGATGAATGAAAATATGACCTCTCCATCACATTAATAAATAAGTAGTAATTGGCACAAATAACAATCACCTAGAGTTATCTTAGCCTTGAAAGCATAAGGAGGGCTTTTCATAAGAACTGATAGAGGACACACCATCGTTATTCTTGTCCAAACTTTTAAATGCTAGTTTCATTTTCTTCTCATGGTCTTTCAGGTATTTCATAAATTCTTCAAAATCCAGCTTCCCATCTTTGTTGACATCGCCAGTGGTGAAAATTTTCTACAGGAAAAAAAAAAACAATTGAAGATATTTTATTGTTAGCACAGGCTACAGTACTGAACTAACTGTGTATACACCAGAAGTAGGCTAGCTGCTTTTCTTTCAGACTGAAACACTAGTTTGGACTAAATGTGTTACTTTGCACTACGTCATAGTTCTACAGCCTTTCCTGTGGTAAGAGATGAGTCCCTGAGTTTCACAAGCTGTGGATGGTGCCAATTTAACACTTATATGAAGACTAAGACTTCTCTTTTGAATTGTTCAAAAATTCAAAAAATTCTCTTTTGAATCTTTTGAATTTCCCCCTGTGGAAATGAAGGCAAAAACAAGGGCCATTTCTTGCGAGCTTGCTGCTGTCATGTATATTCTGATATAGACCCAAAGATGGGCAGAGTACAGGAAGCCTTGTAGTAGAAAACAGGAGGCTTGTCATGGGAACAGGTGAGCACAGGCTAGCTAGCTGGGAACAGAGGATCCAGTGTGGTTGTATTAGGGGAGGGGAGAACATAGTGGTCTTTAGTTAATCCAAAATTGAAAATGGAGACAAATATTAGGAAAACTGTTAGTGTTAACTTAAGAAGTGTTGATTAATCAAGTCCTAGGCACTTGGGGAGGGGATTCTTACAGGGGCTAGTACGTAATTTCCTGTATTGTCACTAGAAGCATCAACTGTGTTCCTCCAAGCCTGTCATTTCTGAAGACCAGGTTTCCTGGCTGGAGGAGCTGAGTCAATATCTATTTTTATTTATGGTCTGGCCATTATCTCTTTCTGTATTCAGTCTCTCCAATTTATAGAATAACAATACAAAATTATTACTTAAAATTTATCATTTTTCATAATAAAAAGATATCTTTTGTACCTCAAGCTATACAAGGTGAATTTCTGTTTTAGAAAATGAATTGAATTCTAGGTCCACATGAATGAAATTTCTGCTACAGACATATGAGAACCGACCCAGCAGAACTGCTTAGGAGATGTGATTTTCATGTGAGGAGAAGCCCATGAGTTCTTTTAAAACAGAATGTTCCGTGCGGTTGGTACAGAGCCCTGTGGGAATGATGCTCTCTTACTTTTGATCATTGACCCCCTCATCCATAATCAATGGATATGCAAAGCCCCATGCCTTTTGCCAAGAAGATTTTCAGGAAAATAAAACCTTGAAAAGGAATAAGTGGGTTTCAGAAGACTTAACTTGTTTATGACGAAATCCAGGATTCCTTCTGCAAGGCCAACTGATATCAAATAAGCAAATGCCCACCATATATGAAAGAAGAGAGACCAGGGTCCCAATCATCCATCCAAATGGAAGATTCCCAACTCTTTAAGACACATCTCTGACGAGTCCCATCACCACCTCACAATAGATCTCTAGCTGAGTGCCAAGTCATTAAAAGGACCACCTTTGAGAAACCTTTATCCCAACCATAGCAAAAGGCAAAGAAACCACAGGGCAGTGCTTGACATATTCAATCAACTCTAAAGACAACTGCTCAACAAACAAACAGAAGCTCAGAGACTCTAACAGTCTATACAGCTAAGACGATGAGCATGAGGATGATTTACTAACCCCACCCCCTCAATAGCAGAAACAAAACATAATTGTTCCCAACTACTACTGAGCTCCAAACGCATGAGGAGTAAATGTTCCAGTTCTCCAAACCCGTGGCATATCAGAGCCTGTGTTGGTTTGAGTACAGATGGCCCCCATAGGCTCATATACTTGAATGCTCGGTCCACACTATTTGGGAAGAATTAAGAGGTATTGCCTTCATGGGCTTTGAGGTTTCAAAAGCTCATGCAATTTCCAAAACACAAAATTAAAGCCAAGAACAAAAGCCATCAGAAATTTTGTTATAGCCACGAAGAAAACTCAGAAGTATTCTTGAGGATGTTAGCTGTGAGGATGACCTTACATTTCTAATCCTTCTGCCTCCACATCCTCCCTGCTTGAATTAAAGGCCTGCACCACCACAATGGTATAAGTGGTTCTGGTGGCTTAATCGAATACTCTACTGACTAGCAACACCAGAAGCCCCTGGATTATTCGTAATAAACAAAAGCAGTGCTAAGCAAGCATCAACTCAAAAGACCTGGATCAAGTTTAAGAACTCATAGGTTTGGCCTCAGTGGGCTTCAGAAGGCCTCTCTAGAGGTCCTAGGCCCGACACCACCCTGAGCTTTATGAAGCTCCCCTGGTCATCCTCCAGAGGCTGAAGGATCCCTTAAATCTGTCAGGCCGTTCTTAAGCTCAAGGATGTCCACAGTTCCATCTTTCATCATGGTCCAGATACCAAAAGAACATAAAGGCTATCTATCCTTGATGTCTCCTGTGGCCAGAGTTCCCCAGGGGCAGAAGTCTGTAGGATGGGACAAAGTGTCCATGATGTGGAAGAAGAGCCAAAGGCAAAGCACCTGCAGGGGTCATTGCACCTGAAGGAGCACTCATCCTAACAGTTCTGGGAATGCAGGGGGCACAAGAACCAGTGGGCTACTCAGGGAGAGGGATTCTGCCCACAAGCCCGCAGACCAGACGTCCTGCTTCCACCAGAGATTCTGCAAGAGCAAGACAGAGCCAGCCATGTCCAGCTCCCCTACCCTCCTGCCTTTTTTAATCGTCCAAAAAAGGATGCTTGTGTTTTGCCTTTTTTTGTCTTTGTTTTGAAAAATGCAAGAATGGAGTTTCAGAACTAGGCTACTGCTCTGTAAGCCGCTAACAGTAGTAGAGGTTACCAGATCACTTTTGGAAGATTGGGTGTGTTTTGTGGCTTGTTGTTATTGTTGTTTCCTGTGGTGCTGGGGAAGGAATGTTAGAACATGCACATGCTGGAAAATCACTAATCACTCCACCGCTGAGCTTCAGGACTGAATCTGAGCCAACCATTTTTAGTCAATAGGAAGGTTACACCTGGCCAGGAATCCTCTTCTCAGGGTGAGGCTCACACAGTGACTGTCATAAGGACTAAAAACAGAGAGAAAATAGCCTGTGTGTACCTTTTCTTCTGTGTTCCCTCCATCTCCACCTCTCACACCTAGTTTCTCTTATCTTTTATTTTCACCCAAAATCTATAGTGGCTCTGAGGGCAAACTGCTCTGTCTGGGCACCTGTTGAGAGGCACTGAGAAGATAATCCCCAAATGGCCAGAAATTAGGGCAGCTGGACTCCAAGGAGAAGGCAGGAGATAGAAGTATTAGTAGCTGTGGTTGTTTTTAATCCTCATCCTCAGAGCCATGGGATGCCCTGAACCCCTTATTTATCTGTGGCCCCTCATCCTGCTCCAGTAAAAATACAGAAATGCAGTTTCACAGAAAAACTCCCTGCTTTTATGTCACTTATTTTTCAAACTGAATACTTTTAATGCTGAAAAAGAAAAGTTGAATATCGACCAGTGAGATAGCACACGCCTAACACTTGAGGATCAGCTAGGAGGAACCCAAGGTGCTTAGCCAACGTGAGCTAAAGCAATAATGAGGCCTTCACTCAAAAATAAATTAACAAATATTTTAATTAGCTATTAAAATTCACAAAAGAAATTTTAATTCTGCCATTCTGTGTTAGCTTTGGCTCTATACTTCATCACATTGAATACAAAGAGGTGGACAAAGACCATCACATATCCTAGACAGAGCCCCTCAAGGAAGAGATTGCACCACAGCCAGGCACAGGTACTGCTGTAAACTACGAAATAGACGCTTTCCCAAGAGCTGTTGAGCAGGGGCTAACACGTAAGACTCTTTCACAAAACCTTTTGTGCCCCAATCGTGAATGAATTATTCCACAAAAGAGGATTTTATTATAATTTAGAAGCTTTTAGTGTGTGTGTGTGTGTGTGTGTGTGTGTGTGTTTTGCCTTCACATGTGTTTGTGTGCGTTTCATGCATGCTGATGCTGGAGGAGGTCAGTAAAGGGCATAGGGTCCCCTGGTATTACTGTTATAGACGATCGTGAGCCATGGCGGTGTGAGGAACAGGGGACAGTGTTTTGTGACTATTCATTTCCCATAAACCTCTCATCTCTGCCACATTTAATGTCACTGTATTCTCCTCTGCCCTCACCCATCTCCTTCTGCAACCTCTTTCTGGCGTTTGTTGTTGTTGTTTTTGGTTTTTTTTTTTTTTTTTTCAAGACAGGGTTTCTCTGTGTAGCCCTGGCTGTCCTGGAACTCACTCTGTAGACCAGGCTGGCCTCAAACTCAGAAATCCTCCTGCCTCTGCCTCCCAAGTGCTGGGATTAAAGGCATGTGCCACCACTGCCCGGCTTTTTGTTTTGTTTTTAAGTCAAAGATTATACTAGAAATTTTTAAGAGATGGCCCCAATATTTATGTATTATATGATGAAAGCAATAGTCACAAGACACTGGAGACGTAGGAAATCATCTGAAATTTCATGTTTTGACACAGAGGTCGTGAGGAACATTTCACAATGCTGATGAAGGAAGAGTTAGGTGGGCGTGTGCTTGTTCATAGAGTTTCGCTAAGAAGACTGAGAAGCACAGTATTCGTCTACTTCCAAAATTTGGACTCACAAATAAAGCAATGACAATTAAAAAGGGGAGTACACCAGGATGAATTTACATTGGGGGGGTGTCTTTCTTTGGTTCACACTTACTCTGTGGCAATATTTTATAAATGTATGGAAGAGAGAGAGGGAATGAGACAGGAGAGGGTAGAGTGTTCTCTAACTCATGTTCAGGGCTAGAGATTTAATAAACGTGCTCAGTTAGCTTAAGAAGTTCCAGGAAACTTTAAGATGAAGTTGCTTGCCATGGTTTCACAGTCTTACTTTGAAGCTTGAGAAGATCACTGTATGGAGAGAATGTGTATATCACTTAGCTTCCGTGAGGATGCAGCCTGTGTCCCCTGACTTGGCTACAGCAAGTTTATCTCTTTTATTTTATCTTTATGTTTATCTCTTTATTTCTCTGCCTCGGATTTCTCCCATTCTTCCAGCTAAATTACTATGACTGCTGTATGAAGTGTCTCCTCCCTTTGCCCTAACCAA